GTGCTACATAGTGAGACCCTGTCTAAGAAAGAGGGGCAGGGAAGGAAGGGAGCGAGGAAGGGAGGGAGGAAGAGAGAGAGAGAGAGAGAGAGAGAGAGAGAGAGAGAGAGAGAGAGAATCCTTAAAGTACTCAGCTCTTGGTAGTTTGTTTCAGCAACAAAAAGTGCGTTTATAAATAAGGAATTATGTATATCACAAACTTTATTTCTCAAATTAGAAGAGTTGAGCGTCTGAGAAAGTAAGTCTTGAAAGTGGAAGGAGACTGAGCCAAGACTTGGAATAGAGTCTGAGCCTGAATCACAGCATACTGGGTAGTAATTAGAGTGTGGGATAGAGAGAGGAACCCAAAGAAAGTCCAGTAAGAAAGTCCTGTAACAGCTTAGTCTTCATCTGAGGGCCATTGGGAGATCAGGGAACCTTACAGGGATGGGGCCTTGTGCGAGGTCATGGGAAGCATGCCCTCCAAAAGGGTTGTGGGGGGCTGGGCACCTTCCTTTACATTCTCCACCAGGAGGTCAGTGGGAGGCTCTGCCCCTGTGGTGTGCCCCTGTGCAACCTGCAGGCAACGGGGCCCTTAGAGAATCTCCTCCCAGCAAGACCCCACTATATTTGTAACCAGCACGGGGTGGGGCCCATGTGATTCTTACAGGTTCCTTGGCTGCCTGAGCCTTGAAGTTCCATGAGATTCCAGAGTTGTAGGAGCCGCCTTTCTCCCTGTCTTCTGTAAGAGCCTCCAGCGCTCTTAACCTCCAAGCCAACTCCCCAGCAGCCAGAGCATGAATTCTTCGAAGATAGGGTCCTCCTTGAATTTGCCCTCAAGTTTTGTGCCTCTTATAACTTTGATGTTATAAGAGGCAGTGTGTGTCCTTTCAAAATAGAGAGAGGACAAAATACTGTGTGTCTGCAGCTCATAGTGAAAGGTCATACTTTTTGCAATGCAGGTTCGTAATTCTGTGCTAACTCACCACACACTGGAATTTTCCAATAAATACTCTTCCTGATGGACTTGAGGATCATGCACAGAACAGTGAGCTACCCCTGAGACCAGGGCAGCAGGGAAGACAGAGAGTAGCCCTTTAAATGCACCTCCACCCTGGGGACATGGAAGATTGTACTTTTTGTTTTTCCTGTTTGAGAGGCAGGACAGACAGAAGTTGATAGATGTCATTGCTCATTCTTGCTCTAAAGGGAGAAAGCAAGAGAATCCTGACCTGCCCACCCTCCCTTGTAGGAACACCAAGCTCAGAGAACAGAGAGTTTGTTTGAGCCCTGTGACCTTAAGGAACCTTAAGCTAGGTTGGTGTTAGGAGTCCATGTGCTCCCTCATTGCCTGGTCTTCTCTTGGAATCCCAAATCTCTCTTCCCTCCATTATTCCTTCAATTTTTTTTTCCTCTTTGAACTTGCTTTCTAAAAATAAAACCTGAGGCTGTTGAGTTTGTGAATGAGCTTCTCCTGTTGGCGGTATTTCTGGCTTCACCGTACCTACCAGGTGCCCGCTCCCTATGCGACCTTCAGAAGGCTTTCTTGGCATATCCGCTGGGAATCTGCATCTGAAAAATTGTCTCCTTTGAACAACTGGCCTATTTCCTGTTATCAAAGGAGATTTATAACTCTCTTCCAGAAAGCTCCGAGCTGAGTTTAACTTTCAGCCATGGCCTCTGGATCACCCTAAAGATGTTTCCCCTTCCCATGATGAGGCTCTGAATCGTACATTTCAGCTTCATTCTATTTTGAGCCAAATTGTTTTGGAAACCCGGTCCTTTGAATAAACGTTTTATTAATTAATTTTTAAAGTTAGTATACAAAATTACAGGTTTTGCTATGATGTTTTATGCATACATTCCATTCTACTTTGCTCATCCAAGCACCTCCCCTTCATACTCCCCCTCCCCTCCTTTTCAGGCCTTTCCACCCCAAGCAAAGCCACAAGACTACTAAATTGAAAGGTAAGAATGGTGGCATGCACCTATAATTCCAGCACTCAGGAGGTTGAGGCAGGAGGATTACCCTGAATTAAAGGTCACTCTGAGCTATAGAATAAAACCTTGTCTCAAACAAACAAACAAACAAAAATGCATATATGTGCATATATACACATATATATATACATATACATATATATATATATAATTGAACTGGGTAGACCACATAATACAAGCTATTGTTTTAAGCACTGCAAGTGACAATGCTTCAGCATTGTTCTTTTTTTTTTAAGATTTTATTTATTATGTATACAGCACTTCATGTATGCCTGCAGGCCAGAAGAGGGCACCAGATCTCATCACAGATGGTTGTGAGCCACCATGTGGTTGCTGGGAATTGAACTCAGGACCTCTGGAAGAGCAGCCAGTGCTCTTAACCTCTGAGCCATCTCTCCAGCCCCCAGCATTGTTCTTATGGAAGAAATTTGGTCTGGAAATGACGCTGCAGCAGTACCAGGCTTATGACATTGTGCCATGAAGTTAATCCAAGGGACAAGGAAAGCTCACAGCTTGATGAAAGAACACTGAGGCTTAGTGTGAGCTGTGAAGTCTAAGTAATTCATGTAAAATATCTTGGGAGATCATTTTTGTACCTCACTGGGAAAAAAATGAAAAGCTGAGCTTAGGCTCCCTGTGACTTGGGACTCCAGGCTTCACTCCTGATAGCCAGCAGGAGAACATGGGCCCTGGTCCTGGTAGGCTGTGCTAAGGACTGCCACCCTTGGTCAGTGAGACTACAACCAGCAGATACACAGGCAAATGGATTCCAGACCGGGCTCTTTCTCTTTTGTATTTAAAAAGTGACTTTTTGGTTGATTTTATATGTGGGGGTGTTTGGTCTGCCTGTATGTCTGTGCAGTATATGCATGCCCAGCATCCACAGAGACCAGAAGAGCCTGTCTGATCCTTAGGACTGGAGTTATGGATGGTTGTGAGCCACCATATGGGTGCTGGGAATCAAAGCTGAGTCCTCTGGAAGAGGAGCCATCTCTCTAGCCCCGAGTTTCATTTTCTTGTTCTATAAAACGGGGCTGCAGTCTGAGCATTGCAGAGAAGAAAACGGGTGATTTATAGAAGAATGATCACAGTGCCTGAAGTTTCCCTGAAATTTGAGTCAAGCATGGTAATTTATGTCTCAAATCAAATCTTGTGCAGAGCGCTACATTAGATTTTAAATAATGATTTTAAAAAAAGCTGTAGGGTACCACACACCACACACACACACACACACACACACCCTCAACAGTGTTCAGCTCCCTTAATTTCCCCAGCCTGTACATGCAGGTGCTACCATTTGGCTTAAGAACCAGATTCCAGCAGCGCTCCCGTCCTCCCCTGCTCACTACATGGCACAGAGGGTACCATCTATCCCACATCCACTATCTATCATCCTATATATGTAACAGGATTCTCATTTGCAGAGTGAGGATGCTGTGATTGTGCCACTGTGAAGGGCTCGTGTGTGGGCGTGGACTGCTGACTGGAAGGCAGACATGTTAGTCAGCTTCAGCCAGTGCTAACAGTTTTCCAAAGTGGTGCTCCCATTTCTACACGATGCAGTGTGGGTGGCCCTTATCACCCTCAACACACATATGGCAGTCTCTTTTCTTTGGGTATGGCGTCTCTAGAGGGATACAACCAACAAGATGTAGACATACATTTTGCCCATTTATGTATAGACACACAGAGAGGTATTTACTTTAAGAGATTGGCTGGCACCATTGTGCAAGCTGTGAGCTCTGAGGATCTGTAATCTGCAAACAAGAGAACCAGCAAAGCTGGTGACGTGCTTCTGGTCTACACCCAAAGGCCTAAGGACAGGGAAGCTGCTGCCCTAAGTGCTGGCCCAAGTCAACAGACCCAAGCACTAGAAGGGCCAAGTCCGGGGCAGGCTCAGGTGAGCAGTCCAGCTGCCTGACTTCCTTCCACCCTCTTGTGGTTTTGTTGTCGTTGATTTGTCTTCACCAAAGTCACTCCACCTGGCGCACTTCTGTGCTAGCTCGGCCCTTGTTTGATTAGATGGTGCTCACTCCCTCACTCTAGGCAGAGACGAGCTCCTTTGTTCAGTCCACTATTCCAACACCAGTCCCTCCTGGAAACACCCTCACAGGCACACCCAGAAGGAACATTTTACCTGCTAACTGGGCATCCCTTAGCCTAGCAGGTTGATACATAAATTCTCTCTCACACATCGTGTGCCAGTGTGGTGCCTCAGTATGCATTTCATTTGCAATTTCCAGATGACTGACAGACCTACTGTACTTTCAATGTGACATTATGTCATTTGGATAAATTAAGACACTTGTAGACATAAACAATGCAGACCCAAACGTACGGAGCAACAACAGAAATGTAAATAAAATGTGAAAAAACACAGGCATAATGAATGCTTTAAATATTCGCACTGAGGAATTCAAATTAATTAACCTCAAATGATCAAAGATAAATAGAATCTTAAGGCATTTTAATATCATGCAAAATTACATATGATATTTGCACCACAAAGTTAAAAATGTGTAACTTTTCATATTTTTTGTCTTTCAAAAGATAAATTTTTCAACATTTGTAAACCTTAGTCAGAAACTTGATGATGAAGGACATTTCAAATAGTTTAGAAAGTAGATTTTAGAATCATCTAAAATCACCTCCTCCCAAATAGATGAATCATGTAAAGGCCCAATTTTCTATATTTAGAAAACAAAGTACATTCATTAAATGTTCCTGAGCAAACAGGAAGTCGAGGTTGAAAGCGTGCTCTTTAGCAAGCAAGCATAGCCAAGAGATGGGCTACAAAGATAGCTCAGAGGTTAAAACACCTGCTGCTCATGGAAAGAACCAGAGTCTGGTTCCCAGCACCCACACAGTGGCTCACACTTGCCTGTAAATCCAGCTCCAGGGTGTCTAATGCCCTCTTCTGACCTCTGTGGGTAGTCACACACACACACACACACACACACACACACACACACACACACACACACACACACACAAAACCCAAAAAACTAAGAGACCTCACAGCAGACCTACAGCATACACAAAAAGTTATATTTAGAGGAAATGGCTTTGAACACTGTATCTAATATGGAAAGAAAATTTAAAATACAAGTTAGAACTCATCTTAAGAAACTAGAAGGCAAAAATAACAACAACAAAAACCCAAAGGACGTAAGACAAGGGAATTAATTAAGGTAGGAGCTGACAACAGTGCAGTCCTTGGCTACTTCATTTTAAGATTAAGGTTGGAAAATGTCTGATTTCTAACCCCAAACCTGATGAGGAGTCTAAAACCCCTGAGTCTATAATGGTTGATTTCCTTTGTTATAAAATATCAATGGCAGTAATCATGACGATGACAATGAGGGGTCTTGTATATGGCCATGATGGAAGCTAAAAATGAGCATAGCTTTAGTTCAGTATGTAAGAGTCTCTGTGAAAACTATACATACTATATATGGTTGATTCCAGGGCTCTCAAACACACCAAAACCCAGAGATGCCCAAGTCCCTCATCCAAAATGGCTTCACATTTACATGGATCCCACTGACTCTTACACTTTACACCTTCTCTATGTAACTTAAAATTTGCAACCCAATGTAAGCTCTACGTAAATGGTTATTAGACCATATTGGTCAAGGAGTAATGACAGGTGTTTGTGAACATGCTTCAGTACAAACAGGACTCACATGTGTGTATGTATGTATGTATGTATGTATGTATGTATGTATGTATGTATATTCAATGTGTGATTGGTTGAATTCAAAGGTACAGAGCCTTTGTGTAACATGGGCCAACTGTGCTGAATATTTGTTAAGAATATTAATGACCCAAGTGTGTACACTGTTAGGGGGGGCAGTGAACCTGTTTGTCATGGAGGCCTTTATCCCACATGTGTAAATACTCTGGAGTTCCTTTATTGTGCCGGTAGCATACAGTATGAGAGCTTCCACAAGCCGAGCAGGGACAAATCATCTGACCTCATGTGCAGGCATTCCCAGCCTTTCTACCGCCTGTAGAAATTCAAGGATTGCTATAACTCATTTGTGTTCGAGAAATTGTTTGCGTGTGAAAGGTGACTAAACAAGAGCTGACCCACAGTCATTTCAGAAAACTAAAGTCTTCCAGCTCAGAGCACTCCCGCTCCTTGAAATCCGATAATGTTGACAGGTCACTTCCCCAGAGCCACATTTACCTGCTTGGCAAGTTCTTCCAAAAACAAAACACCAGACACCCCTTCCAGAATCCAGGCAGAGGTGATGTCAAAGCAGAACACGTCAAACAAGGAGGAAATAGTGGGTGTCCTCTGCTGCATAGGGTCCTGAGGATGGTTCGGTCACAGAAATGATCCTCCTGGGGCTGCTGTCCCTGAGTGAGGCCAGCAGCCGGGACAGACAAAAAGAGCACAGCTGGTATTCAGCGCAACAGCACCCAGGCACAGTGTGGCAGCTGGCAGGGCTCAGCCTTGGACAAGGACCCAGAAGGATGAAGTCATTTTCTGACCTGTGTCCCAGCCAGAAGTTTGAGTGCAAACAGGGTTTCCACGAACTTTCTGAATGTCATCGGTACCTCTCTTTCAACTCAGAGCCAGAACCCAGGCAGAGTGTGGGCAGTGGCCACTGGTATGTCACGGGCACTGCCTTGCAGACGGTTGCAGCCATTGGCACAACACTCAGGTACTAAAATGGGGACAAGAATGGGCTACTTCCCTATCCCGGGAAGCCTGCCTTCCTCTCCAAAATTGCTGACTTTTGTGCTAAAGCACACAGATTGTGTTACCAGAGTGGTTTTCCTAGAATTTCTCACCTGAGACTGTATCGAGAACTAAGACAGGTTCCGGACCTCCCTGGCCAACAGCCTCATCTCTGCGCTTTCCCAGTTGTGTGTGGAAAGGATAAAGTTGACGAACTGCAAAGGAAATGGCTGGGGCCGCCCTACCGAGACATCTGACACCTTATGCCTCTGTCCACCTGGGTCCAGAGCCCACTTGGCCTGCCAGGAAGACGTGAACTGAAGAAAGTGTTCCTCCCCATTGCATCAGGTGGGTGCCACCCACAGCCACCAGGATGGTACTGCAGCCGGCAATTCCTAAATCCTTTATGAACCGCCTCCAACCCGTCTTCTTCCAGCCATGTCACTTTAGCTTCACCTGCTTCACTAAGTGCACCTCTAGGGTCCCCCTTACCTCCTGTTTGGGGGGTTCTGGGGTGACGCCCAGATCGGCACCCCAGGGGAAGGTGCGTGAGTACATACATACATGCATACATATACACACAATCCAGACTTAGCAATGAGGTCCTTAGCAGTGTGAGGGTCCAGAGAGGAAACGATTGTGTTTACGATTTCTCCTGTCTCCTCACTGGTCCGGACAGTACAGCTACGTAGACAGTGTTCCTCACTGACAGCCACTGTGGAGCTCAGAAGGTTCCATAGGCAGGTCATCTGAGAGAACAGGTAGAGATGGATACTTTGGGGATAGGGGAGGGAAAAGCGGGCACAAATTAAATCAACGGTAGTCCCCCGAGGAGCTAATGTGGAAGACGTCCCTGGCACCCGGAGGACCAAGTGGGGATGACGAGGGGACAGAGGTGGCTGGCCTGGGGGTCCACCAGAGCTCCCGGGCTTGTTCTCTCTCCTCAACTCTGACCACCCAGCCTTGCCAGCGCACCTGCGCTCTCCCCAAGCCCAAGGAGTCGTTGGCCTCAGGCAGGGATTGGCTTTTTCCACTCACTCACCTCCCCTTGGCCTCTGGAGCCCCTCAGAGCTCTGCTCTAAAGGCAGTGCCGACAGGTGAACTGGAGACCAAGCCTGGTTCTGGAGGCTCTCAGGCTCGCCGGGCTCATGCTGATGCAACAACCGTTACTTCTTAATATTTAAATTCTGAATGACCAACACCTACATTCAAGGTTCTTATTGTTGTAACAGGGCAACATTTATGCAGATATGTATTGTTATATATGTATCTTATGTACACTTTCCATCCTTTTAATCCATCACAAGAGACATTGTGTCCTGGTTAGGGCTCCCCTGTAGACCATCTCCCCTTTCTCAGTGAGCACCAGTCTGCATGGACACAGTCCTGAAAAGAAGAGAGAGAGGATGAAAATGCACAGGGAAGTTACTTAAGGAGCTGCCCAGGCACAGCACAGGGTACCAACCTTGTGTATGCAATGTCCCACAGGCAGCACCTGGATCTCCCACGCCTCGCCACCGCACCAGATGCTGTCTTCTTCTGGCAGGAAAGGTCCACCCTCCCTTCTTCCGCTGTGGCGCCATGTCTCGCCACAGCCCTGCCCACCTCATTATTTATAAAGCGCATCTCCTGTTTTCCATAGAGGACTGTTCCGTGGAATTTCCTGTAGGGCTGTTTGGGGACTGAGAACCTTGGCCTTTGTTATTTCCTCTTCACCTTGCAGGAGGCTCCGGTTGCTGACTCTTTAAATCTTGCTATCTCCGGCTGCTCTTGAGTCTAGTCCTTAAGCATTTTATCCTGGCTCTGTAAGACCTCTTCATAGCTCCAGCACAGCTATTACCTCTGTGACGCTGTTACTTAGGATGTAGGGTACCAAGTGTTTGAGTAGCAAGAATGCTTCTGGTTTCTCCCATTTTGTAGTCACAGATCTTAGAAGACATTTGCCCACGGTTTCAAAGCAAGAGTCCAAATCACAATTGGTAATGGCTAAGCCATAGAGCTAGGAAAGTCAGGGTTTCAGATACAGAAACCTAGTAACTATGGTTCACTGAGGCTTTTCCCTCCACTACCTGAAGCTGTCACTCATCCTCCATTGCTTATAGCCTAGACTCCCTGCCCGTCAGTGTTCAGGTAAAAGTGGGCCTCAAGAGCCAGCATCACTCAGCACGGCCTGAAACCTGGCAAGCCATTCTTACCCCAGATGGCACCAAGAAAAGAGAGTGATGACCCAGCTGGGTACCTAAGACCCTTTTACGCTCACCTTGCTACAGATAGGATATGGAAGCCTGGGGTGGGGGTTTTCTCTCTATGAGCGCATTTCTCTCTCTGGCCACTAGATGGGGCTGAGGTCTGGAGGTGGAGGTGGGGGTAGTTCCTGTCCCCCTGGTGAGAGAGAAAGGATGTTTTAGTTAGTGGTTTGTTTAGAGGCTGATGGCTCAACCAGTGATTCAGATTCTAATCTTAAGAAATACAAATTTTTTTTAAAAAGTGTCCCTTAATTGTTTGGGTCGCCTGTCTGAAACCTGACTAGGCGCCATTTCCAATCTCAGGGATTGATTCTTTTATTCTACGGATAGAAATCCTTAGGATATCTTTTAGACTCATTGAGCTCACAGAAGAATAATTACAGGTTATGTACTTAGGCTACAGGTCGTAAAACTGTAACAGCAGACAAGCTCATCTGTGTCTGTGGCCCGATGGAGGGCCCTGCATAAGTGTCCATGCAGGAAAACGAAGTAAATGCTGCCCTAACTGTCCACAAAGAAGAATGTGTTAACTTCCCACTGCTGTAACAAATACGTGAAGTAATCAAAGGTTCAGTTTAGATCACAACCCCAATGCATGATTGGCCCAGGTGCTTTGGGTCTATAGCAAGGCAACACATCCTGGTAGCAGCACGTGACGGCAAACATGCTCACCTCACGCAGAAGTGAAAGTGAAAACGAGGAAGAGCCAGGGTCTTGCTTTCCTTGTGGACACGCCTTTAAGGAACCCCTCCCAGAACATCCCACATCTTAACCAGGTTCTGCCAACTTCAGTAGTGTCAAGCTACCAGCCAAACTCTGACACATGGGCTTCCCATGCACGCACACACCCCATGTGTGTGTATATATATATATTCAAAACCCCTTGAGGGACCCTCATGCTCTCTCTGTGCCGGGGAGCCTCCATTCTTGTCACACTGAAGAGCACATACTAGAGACCACGTGTCTAATCCCACAGGTCCAGGTCCAGACCATTAGCCAAGAAGAAAAAGTGCTGGTGGTGGGACCTCAGAGGTCCCCAAATGCACTTTGCAGTCACCGTGGATAGACACATGTCAAGTTTAACAGAATGAGCTTTTAGTTACTAGGTTTCCTGGGAATAATGAATTGCTAAGCTGCTCTGGGAGGCAGCCATGTGAGACACTAAAATCCCAGCCGGCCAGCAGAGGCCTTCCCAGGTCAGCAGCGGGAGACGAGCGGTCGTGTGAGGATCAGAATGCTGACAGCACTGCTCCTGACGCTATGACCCCCAGCACTTAGAAGTAAGCAAGCTTAGCTAGCTCCTTCCGCAGGGGCATTATTGCGACTGCACTCACATTCATCATTCAAAACGTTTGTGAAGGCAACAATGCCAGTGAAGAACAGGAGAGCCGCGCCCTGGCTTATCTCGCAGAGCCTCTGGGGATTAGCTTGTGTAAACCAGTCTCCATCAGCCCCGAGGCTGGGTGCTGTATATAGGCCTCGGGTTCTCGCACCCCACTGTGTGTGTGCTACGAAACGCCAGCTCGTGATCTGGTGCACCTGTACAGTGCTCGTCTCACTGGTGGGGATCCCGAGTGGCTCCTCCAGCCCCCTCCTGCTGTGCATCCGTCCTTTCTGTATCAGAACAACACCGTGTGTAGGTCACAGAAGCACCTGGGTTCAAATCCTGGCCCTCCCTTTTCTATGTCTGTTATCTTAGGCCGGGTCCCTTGCTTACCTTAGTAGGTGGCAGCTAGTAGTACCTATCTCACTGGACTGTGAGGGGAGCATGCTCTAGTGCAGGCCTTGGGCAGTGTCTGCACACTTTCAGCAATTATCCGCTCACTTCAACATTGCATGTGATGTGCAGCTGTGTGTCCCGCACGATGCTTGGCTTTCTCCGACCGTCAAAGAAAATCTCTAGGATCTCTCGCCCGGTATCAGCCCTCCTGCGCTGCTAACCACCACCACCTGACGTCTTTGGCTAACTCACCCCGCCTCCTCCAGCTCTCCTCTTGTGTTCAAGGGGGAAAGGAACGAACAGTCTCTGAATTACCTCCAACTTTAAATGCTCTGAAATTTTCTAACTTTAAGTCAAATGTTTTCTGCTATACACCATTCCAGCTGGCAGAGTTCTGATACCCAAGGCACCAAGCAGAATAAACTGGTAATTAGACAAATGATCTTCGCAAGGTTGACTTTGACCGTGGAAAGTTATTCTTAGGTGTTTGATATAAGAGGAGCTGTGAAGACAGTCTATATTAACATTATCCGGTCGAAGAATTTGGAAAGTATCCTAAGATGTTTTCCTGATGGAAGAAGCCAGCACCTTTGTCTGGGATCCCCTGAGACACCTTCCCTACCTTGCAGCAGGAGGATGGGACATTTTCAGCAAGTGATGGATACCAAAATAATCAAATAAAGGGAGTCAGTCACTTTTTGTCAGATGAATGGAGAAGGTAAAATTGGGAATGATGAAGAAAACAAGTGCCTGGAATGGCTTTGAGGTGAAATCCACTTGAATGACCTTTAGGACACATTTTGAGGTCTTTAGAATAAACTTAACCTTGAGTTTGTTACTCGATTTCCATGCAAGTCATAAATCTTCCTCCGCAGACATCCATAGCACTCTAGTCATCCTTGGTGTCACGTGATTACTTGTTCTGCTCTTTCTTTTCCTCTACAGTTTGAGCTCTGGGCTATCTGAAGTACTATAGCCCAGATTCTGCACAGTGCCAGCATATAGGAAAGAATCCATAGACACACAATGATCTTGCACAAGTACACAGGGTAGGCATCTTGAGAATGCTCACACTCTGATCTGAGAAGATATGGTGCTTGTCTTAGAGTTTCTGTTGCTATGATGAATGCCATGACCAAAATCAGCTTGGGGAGGGAAGGGTTTATTTCAGATTACAGTTCACATTACAGAGGGAAGGGTTTATTTCAGATTACACTTCACATCACAGTCCATCATCAAAGGAAATCAGAGCAGGGACCTGGAGGCAGGAGCTGCTGCAGAGGCCACGGAGGGGACCTGCTTACTGCCTTGCTCCTCATGGCTTACTCAGCCTGCTTTCTTGTGCAACCCAGGGCCATCACCCCAGGGCTGATGCCACCTACAGTGGACAAGGCCCTCCCATATCAATCTTTAATCAAGACAAGCCCCACAGACTTGCTATAGACCAATCCTGTGAAGGCACTTTCTCAGTTAAGAGTCCTTCGTCCCATATATGTCTAGGTTTGTGTTGGGTTGGCAAAAACCAACCAGCACTATACTTAAACCTGTTAATGATTTTTGTGTTCTGGTGACTTTGCTTCGAGAGAACAGTGAAGGGACAATGAGAAAGTTGCCATGAGTGGCTGACAAGATTCCCCTACGGAACTGGATAAGGGTTCAATTTCCCTGCAAATTCTTCAGGCAAAAGGGAGTGGCTTTCCTTATCTTACTGAACCTTCTAGCATCCTTAGGATGCTTCGTCATATGGGGAGGGTGTGTGTGGAGGTGCTTCTTCATCCAGCCATTTCCTTAGTCTCTGGCACCTTGTCATCTTGCTGCAGCCACTGATTCTTTGTGGAATTCTTGAATTCTCCCTTTCCACCTACAGCAGTGTCTCTTTGCTTCTAGTAATGTGTTTTTCTGCGGCACTCAATTGCATCAGTAAATCCAGCATCTTCTCAGAGTCCTGTGACCCGTGCTTGCCAGACGAGTGCTCAGAAGCATCCTCCAGGAACATCTGGTGATCTGGGGCACAGAAAATTCTGGGCCAGAGCAGGGAATTTGATTTATCTTGTTGGACCATGAACTCTGCATCCCCAGTCTCCTGCTATGATGTCCAGTGTAACTTGCTGCAGGCTGGCATACTTGCCTTTTTGATATTTCCAAACCACATGTATGTGTCAAAACTCTTTTCCCTCCTCTGATACCAGGACTCTAAACCGGACCTGCAAATGGTGGAGCGAGAGTGGGGTTTGTAGCCAGTGGATTCCCTTAGAAGACCAGGGAGGACAATGGAGATGGAGAGGAAGCCTGAGGTTAACACCAATGCCTTCTCTGGTTGCTCTGGATCTTGGCACACACTGTGGCCCCCAAGCTGCACTGTTGAATTTTCACTTCATAGACTTGGTGGCAAAAAGCTACAGAAGTAAAAACTTGGCAAGCTGCTTCTAGCACAGTAATGGTCACCCAGTAGGATGAGCTCCAACCCCCCCTGCTCCCCTACTGTGGCTCTTCACCCCTGCTCTATGGCTCCTCACTCCCATGCAGGGGTTAAGGAGCTGATAGTCCTAGGAAGGACAATATTTCA